TCAGAAGTTAGAGCATAATGGGTGGAATTGATACGAATTAGGGTTTAAAATTGGGGTCAAATTGGAAATTCGGGGTTAAAATTGGTTAATTGATGAAATTGGGCTAAATTGGGGTGTAAATCATGAAATTGGAGTTGAATTGGGTTTCAAAGAATTGGGGGTAATTTTGGTATATATAAAAGGATTTTCCTTATTTGCAAATAAGTTTGAATGGGGTGGATTTATTTGAAAGACAAAAAAATTGGATGTCCCTATTTTAATTAAGTGCCCTTGTCATGGGCCTATTTGCCATTACCCCTTCAAATTAATTCAGCAAAAGCAGAGGGAAACCCTAATAGCTTGAGAATCAGGGCAAGGAATCAGCATCTCAATATTGCCATTAATGGCGGACTCTTCTTCTCCAACATTCGTTGCCTTTGCCGATCCTTTTGCCAACCATCTGCCACAAACCATCCTTAATCGTCTATCTATTTCTCGGATTTGCAGAAGATCACACACCGAAAAGTGTGAATCCGAAACAGTACGTTCTAATTTATGTTATTCTGCAGATTCATCAGTTGCATATTTTAATTCGTTTTTTTTTTGTTTGGGCTTGATTTGTTAGAAATGGAAGTATACAAGAGATTGGTAGGTGAGCTTGAAGAAATGGGATTCTCAAAGGCTATAGCCACAAAGGCAATTTGTTCTGGTAAATAAATGTTAATCTGATTTAATCCTTTTACCACATTTCATATGATTATATATAATTATTAATTTATTTTTATTCCATTTATGCGTTGATTGTCTTCTGTTTATGATGTTTACGTATTGTCTTCAAAAGTTCTGCTTGAGTGAAGTTAATCACAATGGATTACGTATCTTTTTCCGTGGCTTCCGGAGCATGTTTTGTTCTTGATGCTAATATATTTTACTTTTGGTATGTGTTTGAATTGCTTTATTCAGGCAATTCAAGTATCGAGGATGCTATAAATTGGCTCGTTGAACATGAGAACGATACGGCTGACAGTGAACCACAAACACCGATGGTAGGTTGTTTTGTCTTCACAGCCGCTAATGTTCCTGTCGTTTGTTATTTACATATGAGCTTCAAATACTGTAGAAAGTGCATTTTATGTTATGTTTTGTGGGGTTATTTACACCTCTGCCACTTATGCAAGAAGCAGGCCGAGGTTCTAGTCAACGTCAATATTGAAGAATCCGATGGCTTTCATATTTCCGAAGACATCAAGTTGAGAGCAAAGGAGCTAAGGTTTGCTTTTATGCTCTTTATTATATCTTTCACCCTCGGTTTTTTTTTAATTAATTATTTTATAACTTCGTAACCCGAAAAGTGATTCTTCGTTTCTAACATTTCCCACATTGAATCCCTCTAATTTCAGGAATCAAGCATGGAAAAGGAAAGCAGAGCTAGAACGGAAACTAGAAAGACAAAGGGAGAAGGTACCGTAGATAATTTCTTCAATTTACGTGTAAGAAAATATTGGTGTTTTTCGTGTAAGAAAATGTTGGTGTTGTACTAATCTTATCCCATGTTGGATTGCTTATGCTTGTTATTGTGAATGAAGATGGTTTCAGGGTCTGCATATTTCAATGTACATAATATCATGCCATTAGATGTTATATTGTTTCTTGCAGGAGAGGATTCGAGCAGGTAAAGAACTGTTAGAAGCAAAGCGAATGGCGGAAGAAAGTGAAAGGAAACGGTTTGTTGAACATTAAAATAGTGTTTGCCGTTTTGTTGCTGTTGCTTTTTATACTTATTCCACTCTTTCATTTTCTTCGACCAAGTCTCAGGTTCCTTTCCCAGAACAAAGCAGAGAAAGATGAAGAGAGACGAGCACGAGAGAATATTCGTCAGAAACTGCAGCAAGATAAGGTACAGTTAATTTATACATGTCGGTTAGAAAAACAAGGCATGTCGAACATTTTTCGTTTTCCTTCTGAACATCGTCATTTTATTCAACTTTGGTAGTTAGAAAGACGGGAGATGCTTGGATTGCCTAGAGAAGCTCCCGTACCTGTAAAAGTAAAACCCGAGACTGCAGAGCCACAAATAACAAAGGTACTAATTTTTGGTATTTTGGTAACTAAAATTTATTTCTCAGGGCCTAAAATAATTTTCCGTACTGTAGAAATTGGAGCCAGTTGACCCTGGTCTATCGCCTGTAAAGCCTGCTGCAGTAAGAGATAATATGAGAGAATGTTTAAGATCCATTAAGCGTCAAAACAAGGTATCTTGCTACAATCTTCGTTGATTATATTACTTCTAAAATACTTAATGAGATGCTCTTTCAAATGAAGAAAAAAACACGTTTTTCGTCATTCTCAGTTAAAAATAAAATCCTCGTTTTCGTTTTCACCTACTATCCTAGCTCATTGCTTCCTTCTGTGTGTTGTGTGTCTGTGTGTATACACGTGTTTTATTTTTCATCGTCTCTGTTATAACATCATAGCATCTGATGTAATTAGGACGACAATGCGAAAGCCATGAGGGCATTCAAGACTCTCTTGATTTACGTGACAAATATATTCAACAATCCCGATAATGACAAGTTAAGGAAGATCCGCATCAGCAACCCGTTATTCCAGGTTCGGTGCCTTTCGATACATTGTCATAAAACACACGGAAATTTCATTTAATTAGTTCTTCATAAGAGCTCTCAAAAGTACCAAAATGAGTCCAAGTCCGAAAAATTCCGGTAATGCCCTTTTCACTTTTTGTCCTATAACGAATTGCTTTCTAACAGGAAAGAGTTGGCAAATTTGAAGGTATCGAGTTTCTTGAGCTCTGTGGGTTTGAGAGAGTCGATGGAGGTAAATTTTTGCTCTTACCGCGAGAAAATGTTGATATTGGCGTACTGAAGTCAGCTGCAATAGAGTTGCATAATGCTTCGACGAATCCTTTCTTTGGACTCTTGTCGGGGTAAAAGTTAGGCTCACACACTACGAGTCGATATGTACATGATCTGAAAGCGTGTTTTCAGGTCTTAAACAACATGCACATGATCTGAAATAGAGTGGAATCTTATTTATAAAATAATGTTTTATAAAGATTATTGATACATAATGGTTACGTTAATGACATTGTGAATAGATTATGGGATAAAATTTATATTTTGTAATAGATGATAAAAATTAATTATATGTTGTGATGGGGGCAAATTTGACACCCTTGGGTCGAACTGGCAAAGATGGGCTTGTTGAGCTAAGACGACCCAATAAACGATGGTTTAACAAAAATGGGTTAGAAGCTCGTCTGTAGAGAACATAATAGTATGAGGTCCACCAGCTGATAGTTCGCACATGGCGAATATTGGCTATGGTGCTATGATTCAAGTCGTTCAAGTCGCATAAGAAGGAACAAAAGTAGTAGGTAACGAGCTGACCGAGAGGCCGTTGGAAAGACGAATTTGAAGAATAATAATTTTATTAAATAATTTATTTATTTTTGCTAGAAAATAAAATAATCATAATTAAATGAGAAAAATCAGTATTTTCTTCCACAATTAAAATTCAATTGACCTTAACTTTCTCTTCATTAATCCCTAATTCCCGTCTCCCTCTTAAAAACATTAAGGTGGTGTTTGCAAATGATTATTTAAAAGCAAAAGTTAGTGATTGTGATTTAAGTTAGTTATAAGTGCTTATTTCTAAAAGTTGGGGGTGTTTGCAAATATTTCGAAAAATGAACTAAAATTGAAAAAACAGGGTTAGGGGTGCTTTTAAAAAAATAGCTTAAAGCAGATTATTTTAAGAGAAGCAAAAGCAAAAGTTGATTTTGCAAACACCTAAAAACAAATTATGAGGAAAAAAACCGCATAATCACTTTCAAAAAGCATTTGCAAACACCACCTAAAAATCACTGTTCAGGAAGCTCTTATGTTAAGTTTACATTCAAAAATTCAGTTCTCTCTCCCGACACTTCATAACTGGCTATCTGATCTAGGGTTAGGATTTTCAGCAGTGGTAATCGACCTTTCACAAGATGTATGCTGATCAAGTGGAGTCTCAAGCTAATAGGTCAGTGAAGGACCGTCTTAATGGAAATTCTGCCTCCAATTCCGGTCGCCGGCGGCCTATCTCCGGCAAGAGGTTAACTTCCTTGCGATTTACTGTATGTTTTGAGTTTTTCCTTGTTCTTCTAGTTTATTGAAGGAAAAAACGTCCTATTACCGCTTCCGTTTTAAACAATTTAATTCTGTCTCATTAGCTTTAGATTAGGGTGACATTACATTTTTTCTGTTTTGAATAGTGTAGCTTTACAGTTTCTGAATTTAGTGCTTCAGTATGAATGACTGGAAATTTCTGTTTTGGTAATGTTAGTTATCAACTTAAGAAAATATTTCATGGCTGCTTTTTTTGTAGTTGGTATAAATTTCTATCGAAATGTATGGTTTTAGTACTCATAGTTTACCCGAGTAATCAATTAGAAGCTGTAGTTGGTTCGTTTGCTAGCATATAAAAAGAGCCGCAGATAAATATGAAGTAATATTAATGTGATATACCTGTCCAATTCGAGGATGAAGCAGGGCAATTTTCGTTATGGAAGATCATGGCAAACTTGCCTTTTTTCTTTCATGGAGAAAACAGAGCACCTTATTTTAGCAAATTCGGTTTTCTTTATGTAGACAGAGAGAATATGATGACAAATGGGAACACGATCTTTTCGAAAGTCACAAGTATGGGATTTCTTACCAAACTTTCAGCAATATATTTATAAAATGTTTGCTTTTTGCTTGTGATACTATGCTATCATGGCATTATATTAGCGGTCTGTAAAGATCGCAAGGTTGGTGTAAGAGATCTGCGTTTCAAGCTCCAACGGAAGAGTATCGAACAAGCTAATCCAAGTGCAAGGGATCTACGTGAGAAGCTCTCTGGTACATTCTATTCTCGTCCTATTGAGTCCAAGCCTATACCTGTGAGGCCGAAGCCCGCCCTTGAAGTCAGTAAACCTCCTAGAAAGGTTGCTAGCTCCGTATCGAAGCAAAAGGTTCAGCAGAAGGTAAAAATTACCATCGCCCCTCTCCCTCCAATTATGGGGGGAGGGAGTCGATTGTCACTTTACATTTGCAATTTTAAAACGGTAGTACCATTTTCAGCAATTGGTTTGTATATGTATGCAGGTTGAGTTGGTGGATAGTTTCTTGCAGTCCCTAAGTCTCGAGAAATATTCAATTACATTTCAGGCCGAAGAAGTATGTTTCATTCATTCTTCTGCTATACCGTTTCTTGAAGGAAATTATTATATAAATGCTTACATATGATGTATGTGTTGTAATTCGGCAGGTTGATATGGCAGCCCTAGTACATATGAAGGATGAAGATCTTAAAGTTTTGGGAATTCCTATGGTGAGTCTATTTTACTATTAAGTTCTAGATGTTACGTAAATTTATCTTAATCCTTTCCCGTTTTATTCGTTAAGGACGTAGATATTCCTTCAATTGTGTTTTTTATCACTTTGGTGGTTTTAACTATCGACACAGAAAGATAGTCGATAAAGTATGAGGGGGATAACTAAATTAAATCTGGTTTGTTTCCCCTTAGGCATAACCTAGAAGAAGGAATTAAATCAAACTGTTCTCCAGATTCTAGAAGTTTCTATGTTAGACATTTGATGATTTAATTACTGATTTCACCAAAGGTCCATCTTCATCTACATTTTCTGCTTCTTTAATCAAAATACGACATGTTAGTTTCAGACCAAATCCTGACCACTGCTTTTCATTAACTGCTGTCAAAATACGACATGCTAGTTGCAGATCTTGACGTTTTTTTTGCAATTGTTGTTTCAGGGTCCAAGAAAGAAGATACTTCTGGCACTGGAATCAAAGTCTCATGACTAAGTGTAATATAATAGGCAACCATATTTTTCTCTCTTGGGTAGTTTTGTCGTATGAATTGTTGCACATATCTCGTACCAGCAGGTTTATTTTTTTTTGTGTTGGTCGGTTTCTTAAATAGAGCTTTTTTGCTGTAGTTTTAAGCTCTCTTGCTGAAAACGGGCTTCAATTAACCGATCATTTTTAATTTAAATATATGTAACCATCGATTTGAGGGACTGGGGGATTTGAGTTAGTGATTCTTGCTGCTTTATCTTGCCAAGTTAATCAACTGCTTTATCTTTTTTCGATTTTGGTACTAGTTTGAAAATTCAGGAATTTGTACATATAATCTCCGTAATAACATAATTACTCCCTTCCCTTTTGAATAATTACAGCAACACCCTTGCCGTTCCTGCACGGTTGACTTGCACATTAATAGATATCAGCTGAAAATTAACGAGGATGTTTAATTGTTAGATATTGAGGAGTTGTGGACTGGATAAATCTCACTCAGTTCACTTAAACAATGAAATTGTACAATGTTATAGTTTCTAATTTGGCAAATAAACATTAGTATAGATAAATACTATAATATAGAAAATTAAAACCGAAGCCGTCTTAGCTCAGCTGGTAGAGCGCATGGCTTTTAACCATGTGGTCGTGGGTTCGATTTCCACAGACGGCGTTGTAATGATATATAATTTTTTTATTTCATTAGTTAACACTAAATATATAATTAATTATTTTTATTTCTAACAAAAGCCGTCTTAGCTCAGCTGGTAGAGCGCATGGCTTTTAACCATGTGGTCGTGGGTTCGATTCCCACAGACGGCGAATTTTTAAAAAATATAATTATTTTAACTTTTTATTTTCATATATTTTTTGGTCGTGGGTTCGATTCCCACAGACGGCGAATTTTTAAAAAATATAATTATTTTAACTTTTTATTTTCATATATTTTTTAACTCTTTAAAATGTTTTTCCAGGCCTTTAAAAAAAAAATTGAAAATTTCGGTTATACACAGTAGTTTTTTTCCAGAATCGTTTAATGTTATCAGGCTTAAGTTGATTTGTTCGATCAGTTGGTGTAATCTTGTCGTTAGACTGTAGTTACATTCCACAGGAATTTACGAACATATTTAATTAACTGTGTTCCAAGCATCAAATGCTCTTGCAAAAATGGTGTCTAAAGGACCTCAAATCTTTTCTCTTAACCTGCAAAGACACATTTTCCATTTCCAAAATCCACGCTTTGGTTATCACATCCGGTTTCTTCTTCACCAACGGAACTTCCGCCGCACTTCTGATAACACACTATGCCCGAACAGGAGACACTGATTCAGCCCACAAACTGTTCGACGCTTTGCCTCTGAGAGGCATCGATTCTTGGAATGCTCTGCTCATTGGGTACTCCCGTGGAAATAACCCTCTTGAAGTAATAAACGGTTACAAGAAGATGAGTTTGGAATCAGTCAAGCCCGATAGCTCGACTTTCACTGTAGCCATCAAAGCCTGCACTAGCTTGTTGGACTTGAAATCGGGCGAGGAAATTTGGGGAAACGCGGTCGAACGTGGGTACGAAGATGACATTTTTGTGGGTTCCTCTGTCTTGAATTTGTTCACTAAGTGTGGGAAAATGGATGAGGCAATTAGTGTGTTCGAAATGATGAGTAAAAGGGATGTCGTTTCTTGGAGCACAATGATCGCGGGATTGGTGAAGGTTGAGAGGCCCAAAGAGGCAATTGCTTTCTATAGAAGAATGCGTAAAGAGGGGTTCGAAGGCGATAAAGTTGTAATGTTGGCTCTTATACAAGCTTGTTCTAATATCGAAGACTTGAAAATGGCCTACTCGTTGCATGGATACATTACTAGGAGGTGTTTTTACATGGATGTTGTGGTCCAGACGAGCCTTATAGATATGTACGCCAAGAATGGGAAATTAGACATTGCTTCTGCCCTTTTCAGGACAATGGGTTGCAAGAATGTTGTCTCTTGGAGCACTTTGATTTCCGGATACGCGAAAAACGGGTATGCTAGTAATGCACTCGAATTATTAATAGAAATGCAGAGTTGCAGTTTTGAGCCGGACTTCGTTTCTCTCATTAGTGCAATTCTTGCGTGTTCTCAAATTGGTTCGACGATATTGGGTAGGGAAATACACGGATATATTCTCCGTAGATTTGTTTTGAATCAAATTCTCGTGACTTCTCTCATCGACATGTATGCAAAATGTGGATCTTTGTTACACGCACATTTGTTGTTCGAAAGAATGAGTGATGGAGATTTAATACATTGGAATACTATTATTGCGAGTTATGGGGCCCACGGGAAAGGAAAGGAGGCTCTCTCGATTTTCCGTAAAATGATCGAGACGAATACGAAACCCGATCACGTGACTTTCGCGTCTCTTTTTTCAGCACTGTCTCATTCCGGATTAGTCGAAGAAGGGCGTTTTTGGTACAATGCAATGATTAAGGATTACAAAATTGAGCCGATGGAGAAACATTATGTGAGTTTGATCGATCTTTTAGCACGAGGTGGAAGAGTTGAGGAAGCTTTGAGTTTGATTGAATCGATGAAATGCGAACCTGGGATTGGTGTCTGGGTGGCTCTTCTATCGGGTTGTCTTAACCATAAGAAGTTCTTGATTGGTGAGGTGGCGTCGAAGAAGATTCTAGAACTAAAGCCGGATAATAATCCGGGGGTTTATACACTTGTTTCGAATTTCTTTGCTGCTGCAGGAAAGTGGGATGACGTGGCACTTGTGAGGAAGATGATGAAAAGCGAAGGAATGAAGAAAATTCCGGGTTATAGTGTTGTTGAAGTCAATGGAAAAGGCCATGCTTTTCTTGTGGAAGATAAATTTCATACTCAATATGAAGATATTTTGAAGGTTTTGGAAGTAATTGAGTTTGAAATGAGAGATATTTGTTATTTAGCTAAGATAAATCTGTTTTAAAAGTTTCTGCAAATACGATTTTTCAGTAAATACGAAAAAAGTCATCATATTTGTCGATAACATCATTCAAGAACCGGAAAATCTCTACCTTAGTAACCGTCAAAAAGTCGTAATTCGTTTGTTGTCAAAACAAAAAAAAAAAAAAAAATCAATTTCTTCTTATCTTCACCTCTTGTATCCACGAGCATGGTTCTGAAGATTCTGGTTATCTTCTAGAAGCCGATCGTATTCTAGAAGCAAATCCGCAGTTTGTCTCTGTAGAGAAGCAACGTGTGTTTCTGCAGTTTCGACTAGCTTGCTTTTTTCAGTTAACTCCAACTTATGCTTATTCAAATTCTCAGTTATCTCTTTCTGTAATCGCTTAACTTCTGCAGCAGCTTTTTCTTCCTTTTCCTTAAGTTGTTGCTTTTCTTTTTCCAGCTTTTCGATCTCTAGCTTTGAAGTTCCGGTTTTGCCCCTTATCTCGATCAGGTTTTGCATGTAGTGGTGCATACGGTCGAGTATGAATCCAAGGAAGAGAGAAAACACTGCAAGATCAAGCAAATCCATATAATTAGGTGCTATTAACTACGAAAAAATGGTTAAAGACTTATTTTAACACGAAAAGATGAATACAAATGTCTCTATGAGTGCTAAAGAAATTCAATATACGAAGTTACTTGCAGAAGACCATTTCTGTCGAAATAATAACTCAAATCAATTATAGGGATAAAATCAAATGTCTAAACTAATCTAAATCAGGGATTAATACTTTCGATAGGCCTTCAACCAAATTAATGTAACAGCCAAACTGATAAAGAATTAAGCAAATAAATATAGGTTCAAAACTTCGAATCCACTTATTCAACACCAATTGCTCGAATGAAGACTCGATTACTGTATTACATCATACGACCAACATGTAGAAACAACAATTATATAGATCATAAGCAATGTATCGGCACATAAATAACACACACGCGGGCGCGCGAGCACGAAATCTTTTGACGTAAACGATAAATTAAAGAAGCATCATACCCATTAAAGTGCCTCCGAGCAAGTTAGTTCTCAAAGAGCCTGATCCATGGGTGTCATTGTACCGTGTTTAGCACCCTGGTTCTGAATCTTGATTATGCTAAACAAGTTCGATAATAGGATGACGAATATAGTGCCGGCAACAGTTAAAACAGTAGCCCTTCTCATTTTAACTTGATCCAAACCCTTCATTACAAGCTCCCTCAACGGCCCAATCTCCACCATTAAAATGGCTGCTATTACACTCTCCACAAACACAACAATGAAGAACAGGGGAATCATCTTTTGTCACAACTCACAACACACTCACACACACCTTTCACACAAAGAACCACCCAAATTTCTACTCAAGATTAATTTTTTTTTTCAAGAAAAGAATTAATTGTTGTATTCTCGATAAGCCCTTTTTCATGTAGACATGTATACAGAATCGGAAATGCTAAAAAGATTGAATCTTTGAACACCAACTGCAGAATTGCAAATCCTACTTTCTGCTCAGTAATAAAAATAAATTCAAGAAATGGGCTAAAAATTAAATCTTTGAACACCAACTGCAGAATTGCAAACCCTACTTTCTGCTCAATATTTTTTTTTCAAGAAATGGAAGAAATGAGCTAAAAAAAATTACTTGTTATTCTCTAGATAAGCCCTTTTTCTGGCTAAAAAAATAAAAATTGAATCTTTGAACACCAACTGCAGAATAAAAAAAAATTAGAGAAACCCCATTTCACAGAGCTACAGCAGAGTGTAAGAAGTTAACGCCACGGATCTGTAAAAATAAATAAAATAGCTGGTAAGGAAAAAGTAAGAAAACTCCAATTTCTTTTTCCTATTAATGTAGGTGGGTTTTATTTCTGAAAGCATAAATTAATGGCGTTTGATTTTGGGGATTAGTGGGGTGTGTGTGTGTTAATGCTTTGCAGAGAGTGGTGAAAAGGCAGAGCAGAGAAAAGCAGCAAATGGAGAGAGTGCCAGTCAAAAGAGTTGATATAAAGTACTTATTATAGCATGAATTTCCAAGTGAAGGCAAAGCAAATCATTAATTCTTTTCTTTTTATTAGGAAAATGTCATTAATTAATTATTGGAAAAAATCAAAAAATACTGTTTTCGTCCCTCAAGTTTACACTGATTTCATATTTAGTCCCTCGTGTTCACAAAAATCACATTTGGTCTCTCATGTTTCAAACATTCAACACTTTTAGTCCTCTCTGTCGATTTTTCAGTTAGTACTAACGGATGAAGTGTGTGCACATCATTGCCTTAACTGACGAACTAACGGTAAATTGACGAAAATGACCATAAATATTAAAATTACTGAAATATGAGGTATCAAATATATTTTTTGTTAACATGGGGGGGCCAAATATGAAATTAGTATAAACTTGAGGGGTGAAAACTGTAACTTTCCCATTAATTATTACTACTTTATTGTTTTCTAAAATCTTATTTGAGGGAGTTGATACTTAATACATAATGATTCAACTTGGATTTAAGCTATACAAACGTTTGGGCACGTAGGTTTTGAAATTGGACTATCAAGACTGAGATTCAATTTTGAATACTTACATTCCTAAAAGGATTTCTTTACATATTCACTTAAATTAACAATTAAAAAAAAATTAGTGATCATATATTTCAAATGTACATAATTAATCACACATATTTAGAAATTGATGATTAGAGTATCATCATCGGTCAAACAT